ACAAAAGGAAATAAAAATGAATCGAAATAATGATACACGTCATGGCATATATCTATTTATAAGCTGATTATACATATGATTGAAGTTCATGTGGATCTGCTTCTTTATTGCTAATTATTAATATTTGCAATTCATATTGATTTATTAAATTTAATTCAATACAATCAAAACGAATATTTCAGGTACCGTTTTTAACTTGAATGTGACCTTAATAATAACACGTATTCTACGTTTAAGTTTAGCGGCTGTGACTCCGACACAGCCTGCAGGTCAAGACGAAGGCGCTGGACTGATCCTTTTTGAATATATTTGCTAGGAGAGCGAATTCTCACAAATTAAGTTACTGGAGAGTAATTTTCATTGCTATAATGGCTTCTTTCTTATCATTTAAGAAAATGGCGTTTAACGGCAGTAAATAAATTTTTTTACTGGTTCTTATACTTAAAATCAGATTTCCAGGTAAACAAAAAGATCAGAATAATAGCTAGTATATAGATATTTAAGTACATATTATACATAGTACCCAAAAAAAAGAATGGTGTGTGCTTTTAAGCAGACCCTCTGAACCCGAATCTGAGGTCCGTTTGACTTTTACGCCCTTAGAATAAATTGCGAAAAACCGATAAAATGGCAAAAAGTTCGGATAGTTTATAGTTTTAATAAAATCTTTGGAGTAAATGACGTGAAAAATAGCACGGTTAGGATTGCCAAATGTCTAGGTCTAGGAGCCGCCGGTCTGGGGGAAAAATCTGCGCGCTGCGGGTTTGCCATTAATTTCTTCGAGATGCGGTTAGAAACTTTGAGATCCTCCGATTTACTGGAAACAATAAGATGAAGGGGTTAGAATCAAAAGGATCTAAGTAGGTCTGACATTGTTTTAAGATGATTAAAGTTAAAGTTGATTACTTATTGTAAATTCTGGGTAAATTCATTTGAAATGTTTAAGGTTGGACCTATCCAAGAAACAGAATGAGGGTAATACTGATATTGTCCCAATTTGGCAAGCCTACTCACAGTGCTGACAAAGTGACATACTACTACAAACCAGAGATATTTCCTGTTTCATGAGCAAAGAAACCTACCAAAATTTTAGGCGTCCTACCAACGAGAAAAAAAGCCTACCAATTTTGGTAGGAAAAGCCCGAAACGGCAACCCTGTTTCTGAGGTTGTCTGCTTATAAAATAAATGTGGTCGTATGGAAAAAAAAAAAACTTATATCATTAAGGAACAGAATAAACAGCAAGGGACCTAAAATGTCGCCCTGAGGAAAGCAAGCTGTAGCTGTGAACGGTACAGACGAAACAAAGGCGATTTACTCGGTTTTTCTAAACCGGTTTCCACCGTTGATAACGATTGACTCCGTAAACCAAGAAACTTCGGAACAAAAATCCGAGCAAAATCGTTACGGTAACCCTATACTTGCATTAAACTCATACCTAGTAATAATAATAATAATGATAGATTGGCGCTTCANGCTTTTCATATAACGGTAAATTTCAAAAATGCTTGAAATTTCAATATTTCCGCCCGAACTTAGACTTTCTTACTTGTTTTCTCAGTTGTCAACAGTCGTTGCTTGAGCTGATTTGCTCTTTTGCCTGACTGCCAGGCCACTTCCTCAATTTAGTGAATACCACTAATATGTTAGTGTTTGGCTGAGCTTCTCCTCCGATTTATAGGGTGCGCCTTGATGCTGTCACACAAATTAGGGAGGACTTATCGCTTTCCGCAGACATTTTTCTAAGCTCTTAGAGCACGTACAAAAAAAAATCAGACTATACTAATTCTTTAACCACAAACTGCTTTTATNTCAATTGTATGAATTGATCAAACTTTGATTGCATTTTCCCACAAAAATTAAATTTTGAAAGGAGCTATTCCAGACCTTAACTGTTCAAAAATTCTCAAAGCTATGTATAAAGATTTTCCCGATTTAATTCAGCAGAATTTAAATATCTGTTTGGAATCATTTTCAAATGTACATACATATTTACATATGCAGTTTTTTGAAACTTGGTATATTGCTCTGAAATCCCACAATTATTTACCGAAGGAAATCGGAAAAATCTTTTTTTCTCAGTTGTCAACAGTCGTTGCTTGAGCTGATTTGCTCTTTTGCCTGACTGCCAGGCCACTTCCTCACTTTAGTGAATACCACTAATATGTTAGTGTTTGGCTGAGCTTCTCCTCCGATTTATAGGGTGCGCCTTGATGCAGTCACACAAATTAGGGAGGACTTATCGCTTTCCGCAGACATTTTTCTAAGCTCTTAGAGCACGTACAAAAAAAAAATCCGACTATACTAATTCTTTAACCACAAACTGCTTTTAACACGTTAACATCAATATTAATATTTCGGCGCTTATACCTTTGCTAAGTGGTTTGCCGTGCTTATCCTCCAATTTATGGAGTATGTCTTGATGAGGGATTCCAGTTTTACGTCGGCGAATGGCAAATGGATGTTTTGAGATACACGGAGGTATGCCATTTCTTGCAAGTTTTTGTTAATTTTTGTCATCCTTTTTTTTATATTGTTCTAATTGAGAGATAATCGCTTATTACTCTCCTGCAAGTTGCTCCGGGATATTTTTAACGGGAGATCTATTCGAGAAGACGAAATATTGAGTCCATCGAGTCCATCCGACTCGTTATTCCGCAATACTTTCGTCTGTTAATGCTGTCTGTCTATGCTTTAGGAATACGAAAAAATTACGATATTATCGGCGATAATTTTCACGGAAATGTAGGGCATTAGTGACGTCTGCAATAGAAAAGCTTGCAGGGCATATGAGGCCTTGAGCGCCCGAGTGAGGTAATAGATCGAGGCGCGTATATCATCCCGTACATAGGTGCAATGAATTTTTTAATAAAAGGCCGCATTTGTTTTTTATAGATCCTTCTTTCTCCCATTACTATTTTATTTTTTATTTATTTTTTGCAGATACATAGGCTCCTCTAGCCCTCATGGCCTCATATGCACATAATTGAAATGCTCTTATTCATATATATGTGTAGGTTGCAATAAATAATTTTTATTTAACTTTAGAATTCTGAGGCTTCTCGAATAAGACCTAAACACATCTTAAACTTGAACACAGACGAGAAACTCGAATTTTTGGCGTCTTTCGACCGCGTTTTCTCCGACATTGATGGTATGTATGGTTGTTTAAAGCTATAAATTCTATATTATAATCCCTTAACACCCATCTGCACCGGTTTTCTCTATAGGCGTGGCTTGGAACTTAACCAGCAGTATACCGCGTGCTGTGGAAGGATATCAAGCGCTTATAGAGGCTGGTAAAACTCTTAACTTCATAAGCAACAATAGCGTACGGTCACCCAGTGAATATGAGCGAAAATTCAAAGATATAGGCTTGGAAGTTGATTTGGTTAGCATTGCGTATGTTGCGTATTTATCACTTACTTGATAGAACTTTTTGTTTCATGTATAGGACGCGCTGGTGCACCCAGCTAAAAGTATTCTTCAATATCTTAAACATATAAATTTCAAAGGTCTCATTTATGTAATTGCCACGGAGCGGGTGAAGGATATGTTACGAGAGGCTGGCTATGATATTATTGATGGCGTACGTATATGCATATGACCCTTTTTTTTATAACACTGTAGAGACGCTTAAATAACACAAAAAATAAAAAAATAAAACGCCGAGGCACTTAAACTTAGTTTTGGGTCATAAATTACGGATTTGTATACTGGTTTTCTTTATCATTGTCATTTATCAACGCGAATAAAAAATTCTAACTTTAATAGGGAAAGTATTAAAAAATAACAAATTGTTTGCAATTTTTTTCATTTGAATTAAAACCTGTGCTTTTGCAAAAAATCAAGCTACTAACGGCGCAAATCGATGTATAAATAAAAGTTTTCAAAATTGTACCGCATTTGTATTTGATCATTTACAACTTTTTTATTTATCCATCGATTTTCTTCGTTAGTAGATTGATTTTTTTGTGGAAGCACGGGCTTTAGTACAAATGAAAGCGGAAAAAAAGCTCTCTTATATTTTAAATTTTTTCCCTCTTAAAGCATCAATTTTTTTCGTTCACGATGTAAATTAAAATGAAAATATCTTTGGAAAATGACCTGATCTAGAAAACCGGTATAAAGCTTCAAAATCTAACACCCAAATTTAAGTTTACTTGTTTCAGCGTTTTTTTGTGTCGCTTCCAAACTTGAGACTTTCCCTGCCAACAAATTAGAAAACTAATAATTTTCCACTTTATTAATTTTCTTCAGCCAACGAAGATTATTAAAGAATCCTTCTCCGATTTGGCTCGCCATGTTTTCGGTGATGAACCGGTGCGCGCTGTCATCATTGATGTGGACTTTAACTTGTCTTCACCGAAACTCATCCGTGCACACGTCTTCTTGCGTCATCCCGATTGTATATTAATAGAGGGTGCCACTGATAAGCTCTTACCGGTGGGAGACGACTTGGATATTATTGGACCTGGACCATTTGCCCAAGTTCTTGCAGAATCGAGTAAAAAACACTTAATTACGCTGGGTAAACCAGGCAAGGAATTGGCTGAGATGCTTGTGAAAAATTTTGAAATTGAGGAAACGAAACGCGTGCTGATGATTGGCGATATGTTGGAGCAAGATATTGGTTTCGGTAGGCAATGTGGTTTTCAGACACTGGTCGTGCTGAGCGGTGGTTGTAAGCTGCAGGATTTGGAAAGTGAAACTATTCGCGACAACATACCCGATTATTATGCGGATAGTATTGCGGATTTTATTGAATTCATGAATGATTTGAATAAGTCCAATGTGTGATGATTTTTTAATGAGTACAAAAACAAATAATTAAGTTTTTACGTTAAGTATTTTATTAAATATGTTCTTTATTTCACCATTAACTTACAAATACTAAATGGTATTATGGATCATTTTTGATGAAAATATGGCAATAAAACACATTTTAGGGCCGACTTCTCAACATTTTCATGACGTAACATTTAAAAAGTTTTTTTTTTGAAAAGCAGTAAGTGATATAAAGGATTTATTAAGGCATTAGGAAACCGATCCATAAAAAATAACAAATGATCAATGTAATTAAAATTTGTTATGGAAGAAAACCATTCAAGTCAGCCAAACCATCGACCACATAATCCGGCATTTCAATATCTAGCAGCGTTGACTCCAAGTCTTCCCGTTTTGTGCTGCCACTGAGTACCAGCAAAGTTTGAAATCCACACATTTTACCGAATCTCACGTCTGTCACAAGACTGTCACCGATAAAGAGGCCACGGCGAGGATTTTGTAGGTGCTCTTTTCGCATCAAAGCATCGCGCAGAGCCATACCGGGTTTGCCCAAGATCAATGGCTGGCGTTTTGACGTATTTTCAACTACAGATATGTAAGGGCCTGGTCCTGAAAAAAGAAATGGTAAAAGGCTCGAATAAGTTTTTTACATAGCTTTTTATTGTTCAAACGGTAAATTAGATGGGTATATAAAATATAAAATAAAAGTTATACAAACTTTTTAAATGAACAAGTCGAATATATGTTTGTACGTTAAAAAATTTCACACGGCTCAACATTCAAATTAAAAATAATTGCCAAATTCGGACTACCTATTTCTATTTATAAATAAATAAAAATTATCCTCCTTGTAATCGGTCATCGATTTCATTGAAACGATCATCAACCTATTTTTCTAAAGATTTATGAATGTGTACTGATTGCTATACCCTTAGTAAAAATAAGGGACCCTAATCATTACACTGTAGGGACGCTAAAATTACATAAAAAAACGCCGAGACACGTAAACTTAATTTTGCATCGTAGATTACGGATTTGTATACCGTTTTTCTAGATCAGGTAACTTTTCCAAGATATTGCATTGCGAATAGAAAGAAGTAAAATTACTATGGAACATGTTCCCCATACGCCATCTACGGTTAGATACGAGTGGGTACTGCTATGTATGATATGGCGTATGAGTAACATTATTTCCTGCTTCTACTTCATACTAAAAATTATTACGTATTTTCATTTGACCATTCAAAAGTGGTATATTTATTCACCGATTTTCATCTTTAGTAGCTTAACTTTTTGGCAAACAGAATCGGCTTTAGCACAAATAAAAAAAAATTACAAAACCGATGCTAGTTTTTTAATTATTTCCTTGTAAAAGCTTGAAGTTCTTTTCATAAGAATTAAAATGATGAATGAAAAAAAAATAAAAAAAACATGAAAGTAGCATTATATCCCCGCCCTTATGCCAGAAGCATGAATGTGCAAATTTATCAGTTTTGAGTTATTGGGTTGACTTGATTAACCTTTGGATGTTCTATGTTATACCAAAACCCAGAATACCATGCGTATATGGAACAACATATTTTACAATTTCAATTGCATAAATGTAGAGTTAAGTCTCGTAAAAAAAAACTTTCAAACATAATTTCCCAAAATCTTCATTTTTGCACATTCATGTTTCTGGCATACGGGCGACAACATGGTACAATAATTACAGGTATTAGTTGCGTTTTTTTACTCATTTCCAGTAAAATCCAGTAAAAGTTTTTACGAATTTTCATGTTTTGGCGTTTACGTACGCAAAAACTTGCAAAGTAGGGGAAATTGAGAGAGCGAAAAATGGCAGCTGAAGTTGCAAGTTTTTACTGGATTTTACTGGATACATTTTTACTTGTAAGAATTTGCCAGTACGAAATACAGCTGATCGCATGTTGCTGGATGAAATTTAAACTAATAAGGAAACTGTTTGTGGCATTTTATTGTGGAAATTCACAAAATAAACCTATTTAAATACAAAATATATTGTTTTATTAGGAATTTGCTGCGAATAAACAACCAATTTATCAGCTGTTCATGAAACTTGCAAATTATTACTGGAAAAGCGTTCGCGTACTTTATTGCAAATTTTTTCTATGAGAGTGAATTCTTAGAAATTAAGTTACTGGAGAGTTGCTGGCAAGTTACTGGATAATTTGTAAAAAAACACAACTATTGTCTTCCCAGAGAGCGCATATTCAGATCTGTCTTATTTGAAAAAACATCTTTGTTGCCCACCCCAAAAAGTTTACTGCTAGGGAAATATCATATGTACACGTATGTTTTTAAACAAACCTTCTCGCAGAGGACTTATTAAATTTGCAAAAGCCGAAAAAAACATTTGCTTAGTAAATAAATTCAAAATTGGTATGGCTCACTTCATTTCAAATGTTTTTTCTTTTGATATTATTTTTAATATTTTTTATTGAGCTTTGTACCACGATTGTTTATTAGGAAAAATTAAAAAAGCAACAAAGTCTAAAGGTCTGATTATGCATATTTCGCATAACTTCGCACAACCGTTTGTACCAGCGCAATAGAAATGTAACGTAAGAAAATGTGAAGCAAAATCTAAACTCAATAGATCGCTAAGTTTTTAAAAGTTCTGCTAATTTCTTGGTAATGGAATACATACAAAATACATACTAAGTACATACGAAATTACAGTTTGAAGTTTATGCGAAGTTGTGCGAAGTATGCATAATCAGACCATAAGCGGTAGAAGTTATAGCAGCTATTTCGGAAATCACAACATCTCCTCATCAGACCTTTTTCTTCTAGACTTCAGCAGAGATCAAACCTGCGTAATCGATGTGTAAAGTCAGAAGCGTTAACCACTGAACTATGTACACCCCGTAAACTCTTGTTGCTAATTTCCTTATTCTACTAAGTACTGTCAAGTGCAACTGATTTGTCGCTATTTCTTTAGTTTTGAAAAATTATAAAAATTAGATTGAGCGAAAACAAAAAGTAAACCCAAATAAAAGTAAAAGAATCAACATTGAACTGTGTCAAAATGAAAATAAGGGAGCAGGAATTTCGATGTGAAGCAAAACTCTCTAGGAAGACAATACCTGTAATCATTGTACCATGGGGCGACAACATATGCATATAAGTTGATAGCCGTTTTCGTTGTTCGGACTAAACTCCAAAACCACTGAATAGAGTTCCGTCAAATTGTCGGGTTGTAAGGTATACCTTACATTATTATATGCCACTAGAAAACTCGCTAGGTGGCACTGGAGTAGAGTTATTAAAAAAAGTCGTATTTATTAATCGATTTCGTTAAAATTTTAAAAGTGAGCTATGTAGGTGTTTGCAAAATCCGTATTTTTTATACAATCTGGTTGAAATTCATAATACGTATTCATTTTATGATAAGCAATGGTTTTGCAGAAAATGGACCCATTGGATGGCGCTGCAGCCGAAATGTAGGAGCCCATGTATTTAGTCTGCTTCGGCCCTATGCTTAAGTTATACGAATTTAGTTTTCAGATGGATAAATGAAGGATGGGGTTAAGAATGCATAGAAAGAGCGCAATGTAAGGGTAAACTTTTCATCCTGTGGGACAGCGAGGATTCTTGGCCCTCCTTTAACGGAAAACGCACATCTGTACTCTTGAGTTTCCTTATAAGAACTTTTATTGGCTTTCGCATCGAACCAATGTTGTAGTTGCAATATCATAGAGAAAGATTACGCATGCTTTGCAGAGATCTCACAGGGGGAAATAAGACCATCGGTAAAACTCTTGACATATAAAGGGATAAGTACTCCATATGGTATCACAGCGTTAGTATTCTTGGCCTATGTGTAAGGAGAATACTGCGCTTTAGTGCTTTCAACATAAACTAAAAATGTTTACTTTACATACTGTTTTTAATTTTAAACGCTCTTTCGCATTGGCCAACACAAAGGTTCTTATTTGGCGCCGCGAAGCAGGCGGGCATTAGCTAGTAATCTAATAAATATGTAAATACATATATACATACCTATAACATCCTTTCCATCGACTGTTATGAGTGTATCTGCAGCACCGCCAATGAATAGACATTCAGGGTTATTTTTTAAATGCCAATGTGCTCGCATCATTTTCGGTGCTGTCAAATTGAAGTCGACATCAATAATCACGGCTTTTACGGGATCATTGCTGTGTATAGCTGCACGCAAATCGTCCACAGAGTGAACGAAAGTGACGCACTGAAAACAAGGTTTATGAGCAAATATTTATTTACGAAGTATGCAAATATTTTGTGCTCCTCTATCGACGACACTCACCTCCTCCACCACCTCGAAGCCGGCCTCACGCAGTAGTGACTTAAATGCATTTGATGCAAGGCAAAAAATAAGACCATCAAACTGGATTGATTTCAAATGATCGCATATTGTCTGCGCTGGATGCACAATATCACACTGTTTGTATTTGGGGAGAAATAAGATTGTATAAATAAATAGGTGCACTTTTTTAATTAATGCCGGCGCGAACGGTTGCAATTACCTTTTCCACCTCGATTCCGCAATTTGCGAATTTTCTTAGCTGCACTTCAATGGGTATGATGCTATTGTTTGTGACATAGATGACTTGCTTGCCCTGTCTTTTGAGATAAACGATTGCTTCCGGTGCACCGGGCAGCTCTTCACGCAGTGACTCCCAAATGACGCCTAATAGTATTGGGTGCAAATTTTTAGTGTGTACATAGGTATGAATTTTTAATTTGGGGTTTGGAGACAAATTTTATTATAGAANAAATTTTTAGTGTGTACATAGGTATGAATTTTTAATTTGGGGTTTGGAGAAAAATTTTATTATAATTTGGTGACAAAGTATGCAGTGTTAGAATGAAAAGCTTACCATCACAATCGCAAAATATTACATCGAATGAATCGAAAAAGTCTCGTTTCTCCTTGGGTGTGAGTTCGGTGAGGTATTTGAATGGCTTTGAAAGTTGTGAATCATTCATTCGTGATGCTAATTCGGGAGTAGATTTCTAAAAAGACATGTTAAAAATATTTAAATGAACTTATTTTTGTGATTTAAGCAAATTATTTTTAAAATAACAATGTTAAGTGTACGCCAGCTATTTCGCTTGTTGTTCTTTGACTTTGTAATAAAGTCGTCTTGAGACTGCTGTGTCTGTGTGGTCACATGTGCTTCTGTAATTTTTTTCGTTTCCAGTCTGTGAATTTCTGGACGTTTCTTCTTCGGCGAAAAATATTATATGTACATATGTATATACGAACCCAGATATGGCCGCGCAGTTACTCGCGACCTCCGACCGTAATNTATTTTTAAAATAACAATGTTAAGTGTACGCCAGCTATTTCGCTTGTTGTCCTTTGACTTTGTAATAAAGTCTTCTTAGAGACTGCTGTGTCTGTGTGGTCACATGTGCGTCTGTGATTTTTTTCATTGCCAGTCTGTGAATTTCTGGACGTTTCTTCTTCGGCGAAAAATATTATATGTATATACATATGTATATACGAACCCAGATATGGCCGCGCAGTTACTCGCGACCTCCGACCGTAAAGAGAATTAGGCCTCTGATTGCGACCAGGAATGTCCGAACACTTAATTAAGAAGGTGTCTCTGCCCGACTGACCTACACGGAAAGACCGACATTTTTCGTTTGTGTACAAACACAGTCAGATGGATTCGCTTTCATAAATAAATCGCTGTACAGTTTTGTATTTATCGTTGGAAAGAGACTGCATCGCCAAGTAGTGACGTTCACCCCGTGGGAGAGTCTTCTTCAACGTCTCGCTCTCTTGCCGCTGACGCCTAGGGTGGATCCGCAAGAATGAATGAATGGTGGATACGCACGAGCACTGGCACCTCCCAATGTTAAAGCTGCGTCTAGTCGGATGAGCAAGGGAGAGATCTTAAGTTCTACCGTAGGAAAATTAGCCTCCATGACGANACAGTCAGATGGATTCGCTTTCATAAATAAATCGCTGTACAGTTTTGTATCTATCATTGGAAAGAGACTGCATCGCCAAGTAGTGACGTTCACCCTGTGGGAGAGTCTTCTTCAACGTCTCGCTCTCTTGCCGCTGACGCCTAGGGTGGATACGCACGAGCACACGTAACGTTCGATAAGGTGCTTGGCTGATCGATTTCACTGGATTCTAAAATTTACCACTTTACATGGCTATCTCCAGATCGAAAAACAAGAAATCAACTAGAGTTTTAGACGTAAAGAGCTGAAGAAGGACGGGATATGCTAATAAGTGGTTGCGAAGAGTTTAAAATCTTGGTCAACATGAAAAACGCACGAAAACTTTATTATAAGGTTAGGCGAAATACGGAAGGATTCAAGACTGGTATATATTTCTGTAAGAACCAACACAGCGAATTGTGAGCGATGTTTACACTTAAATTGTGAAATTATGGTCTATATATGTGGCAACTACTGTGGATTAGAACATAACTTACAAGGTCATATTGGGTGAAAGGCTAAAGCTTATCGCCAATGAACTGAGAATGATTTATCTGAGTAGGCCCTCTTCACTAAGAAAAAAAACTACGAATACATCTTTTTTGGCCCTAATACTAATGTAATTCGATCGTTACCAATTTGTATTGAAAGGAATTTCAAACTTACAATTGAGTTGNAAATTATGGTCTATATATGTGGCAACTACTGTGGATTAGAACATAACTTATAAGGTCATATTGGGTGAAAGGCTAAAGCTTATCGCCAATGAACTGAGAATGATTTATCTGAGTAGGCCCTCTTCACTAAGTAAAAAAACTACGAATACATCTTTTTTAGCCCTAATACTAATGTAATTCGATCGTTACCAATTTGTATTGAAAGGAATTTCAAACTTACAATTGAGTTCCACCAAGCTTTAACTGCAGTTTATTGGAAAATAATACTACAACTCGAAAGGGGTAATTCCACAAAGTAAACAAAAGGAAAAAATTAAAAATTACGAAATAAACCTTGCCGACCACCCCATGTTGAAATTCTTGGCAGTTACCAGAGCTCGTAACTGCAGATAAGCCTCTGATGGAAATAGGGTATTCAAGTTATTTACTGCGAGATAAATTGGCCTGAATGATACCAGTAAATTATTCTTAATCCTTTCCGGCCAAATCCGTCCCTGATGAATATAAAAAATTTTCCTCTTAATTAAAAGGTTCATAGAGCCTTATAATACCAAAAGTAAAGAAAATATATTCAAAAGTTGTTTTGGGTAGCTATTAGGGCTACCTCAAATTTGTGCAACATATTGTTCAAAAGTCCGCAAAGGTTTCTTTAGTTAAGATTGGCATTAAAATATTTTAAATTTTCTCCATCAGAAAAGAATTACNATTTTCCTCTTAATTAAAAGGTTCATAGAGCCTTATAATACCAAAAGTAATGAAAATATATTCAAAAGTTGTTTTGGGTAGCTATTATGGCTACCTCAAATTTGTGCAACATATTATACAAAAGTCCGTAAAAGTTTTTTTAGTTAAGATTTGCATTTAAAAATTTCAAATTTTCTCCATCAGAAAAGAATTATATAAAGAAATTTTGAAAATTTTCAGATGCAATTACAATATAAAATACAAATGACACGTTTTAATAAACCTTCCCGGTTTTTCTGCCTTCAGTAGATCAAGAAATCAAAAATCTACCCTTTACTGCAACAACCACGCACAAGATCTTCAAAACCCACGGCGAAAACCACCCTAATTGCCTGTTCAACTGCAACCTTTGCGGACGTTTGTGCAATATATTGTACAAGACACTTAGAAGCTTTCAGTGTAAATGTACAATGTATTGTTCATTTTTTTGACCACTTGGGAAAAATATTTTAAATCATGATACAGTGCTATCTGGGTCGAGTGAACTAATTAATGCACGACCAGTTCATAGAAAACAGATTGTTCACTATATCCAGATTGAGTTTTTTGTTCTTTAAAATCAATTTTGTTGCGCAGTGCGTCTTTTAAAGTTAAATTTTTAAGAACTCTGAAGTGTCGTCTTTTCCCACAGCTAATGCCAACACATGTTTCCTGTTGTTGTTGTATCGTTGTCGTTAAGCTCTATAGCGGTAGACCCAGGAAGCGCGACCAGACACATTAGCAGGGTGGGGTTCAGTGGGAATGCGAAAAGAGCGTCATGGAGCGTCTCTCCGAATGACGGGAATTCATTTGGCACATCTGCATTTATTCTGTTCAGGTATAAGATCAACCTGCTGCAGTAGCCCGATCGAAGTTGGGCTATGTAATCCGAGTCTCCCCAGGGCAGACGAAGCTCTGTTCCGTCCACGTCAGGTGGTTGCGTGCCCAGAACGGCATTCACAGGTCGAGAGTCTATATAACTCGGGACTGGCTCTCTCAATTGCTTTGGAGACTTTCGCCTTCCCGATGGCTATCCTTTCCTCGTCGCTGCTGAAAAAAAGAGGCGCACTTGGTGTAGGCAGTTTCTGCAGCCTTCTGATCACTCTTCGTTTGGCTTTGTCCGCCGGAGGATGCAGTATGAACCGTCGGCTAAAATAGCTCGCGCATCGCTCGGGTCGGACGAAGCGTGCTTGCCAAAAGATATTTCAACTCTGTCATCATGCTTCGTCGGATTGGAGAATGACCTCACGGTTGACCAAAGCTTGCTCACACCAGAGGCGAAGTTACAAGTCTTCAGACAGTCTTCCCACTTCACTAGTGCCGAATCTCCGAGTTGGGAACCCCTTATACGGGTATTTACGGGATCGGCCTGGCGAAGGGATTATCCTTTTTGTTATTAAGTTCTTCGTTACAGTTTTGAATTTGGAATGAATTGGTTTTAAATTTTGTTCACTCTACAAAGACTCAAAATTGTTCACTCTATAGAGTACTTAATAGAAAAATTTTCATGTTCACTCATTCGAGGTGTTCGTAGCATCGGGTGTTCACTCCAGCCAGATACCACTGTAGTTTAATTTTAGGATTTTTATATGATGAAACGCTTTTTATATTTCCATACTATGTGCTTTAATTTGCGAATTTACTTTCTTTCGACTTTCACGTATTTTTTGTACAGTAAATTACCACAACTTGTGTGTCACTGGAATTTTATAAAATTAAATGAAATTAAATTCTAAAAATATTTTTGAAACATTTTCGATTTTGAAATTTACAAAAACTATTCGGGACATTCCAAAACTTCATATGGTTTAATTTGTTTTCAAAAATATTAATACGATTTTTAGTAGCACGCTACCAATTATACAAAAAAATTAAATGTACAATATAATGTACAAATGCAGGGAAAGGGTTAATCAACCAATGTCCATAACGGGTTCGTGAGTTATGTTTTAGCTTAATATTCAAGCCCAAGCAAACTGATACATTTTGTGTGAATATGAACCATTGAATCTGTTCAAACAAATGAATCTTCCACTACAATCGCGCCTTCTATTCTGCCAGCCTAATCCTAATATCATTTGTTGGCTTTGTGAGTGTACCAGTGAACGATTCTACCTAGGGTTGCCAGATTCTGAAATGGGAAAAGGAGTACATTTCTATTTTCGATAGAAAAAAAGCAGTAAAAAACATAAAAAGGGAGTACAATTTTTTTTTTATTTTTTGTGCAATTTATTGTTACAAATTACCTTCAAGCAAGCTTCAAAGCAACAATAAATGTTAAAAATAGATAACTAAATTCTACAAAAGAATTCCAGACTCTTCCTGAATGTGTGGCCACTTTTTTAATTTAAGCCTTATAATTTATTTAATATTTTTCTGATTTTTATACCCGAGCGCCCTGCACCCACTTTGCTACGACCATGCTTACATCTTTTTACTATCACACTTAACTTTGCTTACTAATTAGTGTTTGCCACAATATGAATGGCAAAGTACAGGGCGTAAAATAATAGCTTTCGCACAGGTTTTTTGAAAAATAAATGGGTCCTTTATTGATTTTGCGAAACAAGCAATTTTTTGTAACCTTGTAAATATTTTACTTTAATTTTATTAAATAGTTTTAAAATTTTCATCCTTATTTGCATCTGCCAGCTTTGGAAGATAAGTACACGTTTTTTCAGGTGTATTTTTTCTTTGACTTTGTATTTATAAAAAAAAACAAAAAAAAACTGTATAGGGTTGGTCGAATGAATGGCCTCCTAGTTACCAGTTCCGAGTCTTTTCGTTTGCTGAGTATGAGGCCTTATGTTGAACAAAAGACGGAGTATAAAGGAGCCAAATGGGGAAAATAAGCCTATGGTTACAGAAGATATGTAATAAAGTAACCGACGAAGACTTTCGTTCAGCTTGCGCTTTTCTCTCAAAGTGTTTACCGTTGGTAAACTCAAAAGAAGGCTAAAATTTAAAAACGAATCAATAAAATTCAAGTAAAATTTGTAGATAATTAACAATAAACTAGTTTTTTTCGCAAAATCTATAAAGACCACTTTTATTAAAAAAAAAACCTGCGCAACAGTTATTTATTTACACCATGTACATGATAAAATATTAGTAGCTGGAAAAAGGAGTACAAAGGATGTAAAAAACTGGCAAAGGAGTACATTTCCAGATATTTTTTCTTGGGTGTACAAGTGAGTACATTGCAATACATTGGTACATTTACTCCCGAAAGCAGTACGTCTGGCAACCCTAATTCTACCTTATGAAAATTAATGCTCGCATTTTGGTAAAATAAATAATACCACTATCACGTACAAATTATGTTATAAATTTTCTCAGTATTCGATTATTTATTCGTCTAATAAAATTTAATGACAGTATGGCTTTTTATCTGAAGTAGGGAGCAAACCGACAAAATTTATCACTTTTTGAAAAATCTTCCATTATAAACCTGTATGTACGTCATGGTGCAATAATTACAGGCATTGTCTTCCTCACTGCACCTTCATTTCTTTCAAAGTCATTTATTTTTAAAGTACTCCCGAATAAACACAAAGGATACTCTTGTAGTAAAATCTTTTTAAACATCGTTCGAAACATTACACTGTCTCACACGAAATATGGGCAAATTGTGTAGCGTATAGCGCTTACCTCGTTATTCATTTTATGCTCCATTGCCACTCGCCGATTTCCGTACTCTAAGATCGCGACCTATGTATTGAAATGCAAAGGAATTGTGCTGCGGCACCACTGACTTGTGGGTTAAATAGCGTTAAGTTATTCAATCGGCTTAACTCAGCCGCGACCTGATGGTAACTGATCCATCCTACAGTGAAAACTGATAAATAACAATAATGCACTGGACTGCTATACAACGCGATGAATATGATTACTGGAATACCATATACATATGTATGTACATATGTACTATGTACATACATACATACTTAAGTAAAAATGTGCAAACAAACGTACAGACATACATATGTACATGTAAACTTGGGTGTCAGTACATATCATGTCACCATTGGCGACAACATTCCCGTGTTACGTTGCTTTTAAGACATTTACCACATCAAAACGTATCTGTAAGATGCATACAATTCAATTTACGTATGGAGCGCGCCAATTGTTCCTATCAGAGCTTGTTAACCGAAGTGGCGAAGTGTGCTCTTTGGCGCAGAACTGTACGCGCAGGGAAATTGCATGCTAGCAAATTACTAAGAGGGTTCCTAAATAAATCAGGGAATAATAAAGATTTTGTATATAGGAAATTCTAATAAGGCTCGCCATCCTTCAGACGTGACTTAACTTGTAATTCCCATTTTGTTATCTCAAAATTACGGATTATAAAATCACCTTTAGAACAACAACGTAAGTATGTACTTCCAAGTTAATCTTAAAATATATTTTTCTTCCTCTTGATTGGCGTTGTAGCACGTCAATCGTTTCTTTTTTCTGCCCATTGGCGCCAATTGAAAATGCCATCTTCTGGGGTATTCGTCAACCGCAAAGGCTCGTAAATTTTCCGCAGCACACTCCAGGAGCCGCCTTATCAGATGCTTTCATTGTCCATGCTTCTGCGCCATACACTAGAACAAGCATGATGAGAGACTTATATAGAATGTGACTTTTACTTCTCAATTTTCTACTCAGTCCAAAGTAGCACTTGTTGGTCGGAGTGATTTTTGTTGGATTTTGAAACTGACATTAATATGGGTGTTAATTCTGTTCCTAATAAACTTATTCTACCTTATGACAGTCATCAGTGAGGTAAGTGCTGAGACGCGTATGCTCTGATTATTTGTTTGACAAAAGAAGATACTTCGTTTTTTCCTTGTTTACTACCAGGCCCATCTACATATATCTAAATTCGAGAAGGCAGAACAGACGTATTCCTTGTTTTTACAGATGACGTCGATGTCACATGTCGCAATCATATACTCTTGTAAATATTGTACTGACCGGATCAATTCTGCAGCTCTTATTATCTTCTCCAACATCAGATTAAAGAAATCAGACGAGGTACAGTCACCTTGTCTCAAACGGCTCTGAGAGGTCCTTCTCAATTCTGACGGAGCTGGTGGTATTGCTGAACGACACTTTGCACAGCCGTATTAGTTTCTCGGGGACACCAAATTCAAACCTCGCGACAGCGGCTTTGAAACCGACAAAGAGGAAGTGCTGTGTCGATCCTATTCTCGCGAGTATTTTCCATGATTTAGCGTACTGTGAGTACTTGAGTACTGTGAGTACTATGGTGGATTTGCCAGGTCTAAAGCCACACTGATAAGGCCCAATCAGTTCGTTGACGGTGGGTATCAGTCGTTCATAGAATATGCTCGATAATACCCTATATCCGATACTTAGAAGGCTGATCCCGTGGTAGTTAGCGCGTAAGGCGTGGTCGACTTTCTTGTGTAATGGGCAAAGCACACTTGAATTCCAGTCGTCGGGCATGCGTTCATCTGACCATATTCTGCATAAAAGTTGATACATGTACCTAATTTGCTCCTCGCCTCCGTACTTGAATATTTCAGCTGGCAGGCTATCAACTCCAACATCTTTGTTGTTTTTCTGCCGTGCTATTGCTATTCGTACCTCGTCATAGTCAGGTGGTAGAAGATCGACTCCGTCATCATCCACTGGAAGCTCGGGGTCGTTTTCTCCACTACTGTGTATGCTGAAGAGTGGAAAACTGTTCCCTACATAATTTAAAATAATTCTTCATAATAATTTTCTTCAGACCCCGGTGAGTTGATACATAGCTACGGCTGGACGTAAGTATTAACAAAATCAGTCTGCCAAGCTGAAAAACCAGCCTATTTGAATGCCGATTATAGAGCTAAGAATTACACAGGCCGACATTTTTCAGACCCTGGGATCTGCTTAGACTTTTCCAAAGGTTTTTGATGTGCTGAAACTGAATCCAGAATCAGTTTTGCTCGATTGGCTCAGGTTTTCGAGATATTTTAGCCTAAACATGCGAAAACCCCGACTTTTTGCTATATTCGTCATGTATTTTCATCAAGAATAGTTCGTTTTTTTAGAAAATTTAATAAATGATTTGAAAATATTTCCCCTTGATAATGCTGTTTAACTCAACGAGATATCTTGTTTTAGACCTGAGATATTGTCCATTGAAGTTTATGGGTTTTGCGACTTACTTCTTTGCACAAATGCTTGAAAGATACAACACGAAAAGAAACAGATTTGTGGTATACGTTTAGGCGTATTATGTGTGTATATTATTATGTATACTATATATACGGTGACCATCCGTTCTGTTTTTTGCAGGACCGTACTGTTTTTCAAAGGTCGGTCCTGCGTAGTTTTTCAAACCTGAAAAACCTGAAAATGTATTGATTTTTTCCAAGTGTCCTGCATTTGTCCCGCATTTCATTCGTTATTTTAAAATTATCGGACAATGGATGGATTTTTTCAAAAAAAGTATTTTTTAGTACTTTTCGTAGCTTTTCTTCAAAATCTCATGAAAAAATCTCCAAATTAACGTAAGCGACTTACAGCTCGAAGGGTATTGATGTGCCTCTTACCAAAATATATAACTTGTGGCGACTTCAATGAAAATTATTAGTGCTACAGCCGAAAAAAGTGAGATTTTCAATCAAATACGCAGTTTCATTTGATTATTTTTTTTCATTATTTAAATAATTCGATAAACAAGATATATCATTACAGTAAACTTTGAGCCAAAGATAATGAAAATCGGATTAGAAATGTAGATGCTATGGAGCGCAATCTGCACAAATTATATATTTTTGTAAAGGGCACTTTGTAACTCGTCGTTTACGTCGATTCCTGACGTCGATTTTTGACAAATAACTCCGAAAAGTACCAAAAAAACATAAAAAAGAAGGGTATTGTTTTCGTTTTGAACGACTCAAAGTTTGCCTATAAAATAATCTTTTAAAGATTTTCACTTTTCGTGTAAGCTATTGTAATTATAATATGTTTTACTTTTATAAATATTCATGTAAAAAAAGGTTAATATCAATGAAGAAAATGTGATTAATTTTTAAAGTTTAAAATGTATTAAGAATTTAGAATCATAAATACTATTTTGATATTTTTATACTACGTAAATATATGTAGGCATATTTTTGAATAATTGTCCTTCATTTTGAATCCATATTTATGGTCACCGTAACTATATATCATGTATATCATATATCATATATATATCATGCACTTCACACATATGTATAATATCAAATGAAATTCCTAGAGAATTTCTCATGCATTCATTTCTTCGTTAAATTCTTAGACGAAATAAGTTTTCTCTATGCACGCGCACTGTTGGATATTTTAGTAGNTTCTTCGTTAAATTCTTAAACGAAATAAGTTTTCTCTATGCACGCGCACTGTTGGATATTTTAGTAACGTAACGCCGGGTAACGTCATGTCAGATTATTCAGCTGATTTAACATAAAGCTGAAAAGATTTTTACATTTCAAAACTTGGAAAATTAATCTTAAAAATTTCCAATATTACTACAAAAGCTTTTACACAAATTATCTTGCCCGATTCGTAGAGTTTTGTAATTTTGTAATCGAAGTCAAATCCACTTCTGTTTTTTGTAACGTCACGCCAGCACTTAAATTTACTAATATCTTTAAATCTCTACTACCAACAGTTGTAAGTTTTTTTTTTTACTGAAGACCCTTATTCAGTAAAAAAAAACTTAAATTTTTAATTTAATATTTTAATTGCTATGCAAGTCTAAAACAACCCTTTTAAAATTGTCACTCTTTCAATTCTTTTTTGAACATTTTGTCATATAGTAGGAGATCCGACAAGGACAAGACCTTCACTCATCAGTTTAAACGATGAAATCTATTTTGTATGAAATTTTACGTGTTACTAAATATTTCGCGAGTGGGTTGGCTGAAAAACGCTCATTTCTTTAATAAACATAATATACACCGAACAAAGGCATAAAGCCTATAGAATGTGTTCAACAGATGAGTGAGTGAAAATACTAGTATTGCCCACCTGTTCATACCTGCCAATCCTATAGGTAGGCCAGGAAAATAGACAACCCAACGTTTTCACGAAATATTTATTAAAAAGTTAAATTTCATACAAAATAAATTTCGTCCATTAAACAGATGGGTGAATGCCAGTTTGGAAATATGTACCCATATTCCGATTACTTTATTGCTGTTTCTTTTCTTCTCAATAAAATATAAAAAGGTGCATATTTCATACATCGTTTTAAGGAAGATTTTCTGAATTAGCGGAAGTTGCGGTTTTATCGGGAGTGTCGGGAAAGGATTTTGGTCCCATCCCGCCCGCAAAATTTTTACAGACTTTCCCTATACCGGCCATCGCGGCCAATTTGAAATCAGTACCGTGGGTTCCGTGGATCCCGATATTACGCGCCCAGCTCTATTCTTTAAGGCAGTTATTACAGTTGACAAAGTTAGCTCTAACAGTTGCTTTAAAACCCCGGTAAACAAAACACGTAATTTAAAAAAATAGTACCGACATAAAGGATATGTGAAAAAATACGGAATGGAAAGTTCAGCAACTGTTTAAATAAATATATATGGCAAGAAGGACTAGGAGCTGAGTTTAAAAGTCAGATTTTAGTATAAGGCGCAATTTGCTTTATAATCCAAATAAAGGGAGTTTTAGATGAGATTTGATAGGAAAATTGGGGATGAGTGCTGACATAAAAATTATTAACATTAATTTTCTAATAGAAAGGGGCATATTCAGAGGTAAAATAAAGTCGACACTAAAGTTAGTTACAGCACTTTGACAAAATTTTCAATGGAATATCTGTCAATCAAGCTGCAACTAGTTTTTGAATCAATTTTATTGTA